CTAAGGATGAGCTGGGGCGGGGGGACGGGGCGTGCTCGGCGAGAGCTAGGGCCTGGCCTAAGGGGGATGAAGTGAAGGATGGTTTTCTTTTTAGGACGGGAACAGTTGTGTACCACTCCCACCCACGCCCCCAAGAAAAGGGTATACACGACACCAAAAAGGTCGATTTCAGAAAGCCAGACTCTCAGGCACATGGGAAATCAGGTGTAATTCCAAGGGGGTACCCCGTTCCCTGAGAACATCTTATTCCTCTAACCGCCTTTAAAGGAGCGCTGAATTTAGAGTTAGATCTACAGTTACTGGCACTGCCCCTTCCTAGATATGTGCCCTTGGATCATGCCTTAATCTTTCTCAGCCTCAGTTTCCTGGTCTGTCAAAGGGAGTTGAGGAGGATGAGGATTGTGCTTTTCTGACGAGTGTTGTTTGTGGGGAGCGACTCCGATAATGAATGGTACCTGGGCAGGTGTCTATTAGTTGTGAAGGGCTGTATCGTTGTCATGTGGTATTGTTACTCTTCTCTTTCCCTCCCAGGTACCCCCCCGGCCGCCCTCTTCCTTCCCTTGTTCCTGTGGCTGGGGGGGGCCCCCCCCTCCCTCGACACCATGGAGCCGTCATCCCTGTCTCCCAGTGGGGCAGCACTTCCCCTGCCCCTACCGGTGGCCCAGCCTCCACTGCCAGCGGCTGCAGTGGTACACGTGTCCTTTCCCGAGGTCACCAGTGCCCTCTTGGAATCCCTCAACCAGCAGCGGCTCCAGGGCCAGCTCTGCGACGTGTCCATTCGCGTGCAGGGCCGCGAGTTCCGGGCTCACCGTGCCGTTCTGGCCGCCTCCTCCCCTTACTTCCACGACCAGGTCCTACTCAAGGGCATGACGTCCATCTCACTGCCCAGCGTCATGGACCCCGGGGCCTTCGAGACCGTCCTGGCCTCTGCGTACACTGGCCGCCTCAGCATGGCCGTTGCTGACATTGTCAATTTCCTCACCGTGGGCTCCGTGCTCCAGATGTGGCACATCGTGCACAAATGCACCGAGCTCCTCCGCGAGGGCCGGGCCTCGGCCGCCTCCGTGACTGTCCCCGGTGCTGGGGGCCCCGCAGGGAGTGTGGGCACCGTGGCCCCTGCCACCGCGGGCTCCGTGCGCTCCCATGCGTCCAGTCAGGCCAGTGAGAACCAGTCTCCCAGCAGCAGCAACTACTTCAGCCCCCGGGAGTCCACGGATTTCTCGGCTTCCTCCCAAGAGGCGTTTGCATCCTCTGCCGTGGGCAGCGGGGAGCGGCGCGGAGGTGGCCCTGTGTTCCCAGCCCCCGTGGTTGGCAGTGGAGGGGCCACCTCTGGGAAACTCTTGCCGGAGGCAGATGAACTGTGCGACGATGGTGGGGATGGCAGGGGGGCGGTGGTCCCTGGGACCGGACTCCGGCGACCCACCTACGCACCCTCGGGCATCGTGCCGCAGAAACACTGGGTGTATGTGAAACAGGGGGGGACTTGCCCTGCGCCGGCACCCCTGGCTCCCCAAGATGCGGATATGGAGGAGGAGGAGGAGGAAGACCTGGTGTTGACCTGTGAGGATGATGAAGACGAAGAGCTCGGGGGTGGCTCCGGGATCTCAGCGGGGGGAGGGCCTGAAGCTACGCTAAGCATAAGTGATGTTCGGACCCTGACCGAGCCCCCAAATAAGGGGGAGGAGCAAGTCAACTTCTGTGAGTCCTCCGATGACTTTGGCCCCTATGAGGGTGGGGGTTCTAGGGCAGGACTGGATGACTCAGGGGGGCCGACCCCCTCCCACCCTCCAAGGCCCCTGCTTCCCCTGGATCCGCAGGGCAACCAAATCCTGGTCTTTCCATCCTCCTCCTCCTCCTCTTCCTCCTCCTCCTCTCAGGCTCCAGGCCAGTCACCAGGGAACCAGGCAGAGCATGGGGCAGTGACCCTGGCGGGGGCATCGGCTGGGGGCTTGGGTGTGCCAGGGAGCACTGGCGGGGCCTCGGGGGGTCCAGGTGGCGGAGATGGGAATAAGATCTTTCTGTGCCACTGTGGGAAGGCTTTCTCACACAAGAGCATGCGGGACCGCCACGTGAACATGCACCTCAACCTGCGGCCCTTCGACTGCCCCGTGTGCAGCAAGAAGTTCAAGATGAAGCACCACCTGACCGAGCACATGAAAACCCACACGGGCCTCAAGCCCTACGAGTGCGGCGTCTGCGCCAAGAAGTTCATGTGGCGCGACAGCTTCATGCGCCACCGGGGTCACTGCGAGAGGTGGCATCGCCTGGGCGGGGGCGGGCCAGGGGGCGGGGCGGGGCCTGGGCCACCCACAGGGCCAGCCATGCAGCCCAAGCGAGAGTCCCACCGGGTGGGCGGGGGGAGTGGTGACGAGACGAGTGGGGCCACGCCCCCTCCCAGCCCAAGGGTCTGGTCCCCTACTAGTGTCCACAAGGTGGAGATGGGCTTCAGTGGCGGCGGAGGGGCAAACTGAGGGGGCAGAGCTATCGGGGTTAGCTTTGGGGAGAGGGAATAGGAAGGACGAGGTAGGGTCCCAGGTGGTCTCCCATCGGCTTCCTTCTCTCGATGGACTTGTATATACTCACTTGTATATACCCAGGCGGGAGGACCAAGGTCACTATTACCAACATCCGCCCATTCCACTCTCAGCCATCCTCTGCTCTGGACAAGTCACCCCCAGAACTCAGCCCTTCCTTCCCCTCACCTGGGCACACCGAAGGCCCCGCTCCACAGAGTGGGGCGAGGTGTAGGGGGCTGGAGTGCGGTGGTTGTCTGTGCCAGACATCTGTGTTCGTGTTGTGTGGAGACCAGCCCATCGAGCCCCATCCTTGTCCTAGAACCTCTCGCTCCCATAGGAGGAGCCCCCCCCATCTCTACTCAAGCCCTCTCGTCCCTCCCCCCATCCCCAGAGGGTTCCCCAATTCGGTTCTCAGGGGAGGGAGGGGGGAGACAAGGAGGGAGGAAGTAGTGTAGGAGTACAAGGTTTTTATTTTAAATCTTATTTTTTTTAACGGTGATTAAAATATTTATTGATCATTTCACATGACTTCCTGACAAGCCCTGTACGTCTTTGCTGGGGACCAGGTACAAGTGGGGGAAAGGAGGACAAATATCCCCAGGGAGGGGCATGCAAGGGAGTGGGGCGGGGGGAGCATGGGGCTGGGTGGCCCAGGGGGCGGGGGTGCCCTGACAACTGTAGGGGGTGTTCCTGGATCCTTGCCTGGCCAGGGTGGCGGGCACCTGTCTCCCACACCCTGTCGTCTAAGCCGGGATTTCCCCTCGCTGACTAAGGAAGAAAGTGAAAGTAAAAGGGGGAAGAGGAGACTTCAGGGCTGAAGCGAGCAGCGCCATGAAGCTCGGGTCCCTGCTCCTCTCTGTGGCTTTGGGTGAGCGAGCCCCACTCTGTCCTGCCCAAGAACGGGGGAGTGAGGGCGGTCTCCCAGGCGACGCCGGGGGTGGGGTGCGGGGGTGCGGACCTTCCCAGCCGCCGCCTCACGCGCGCACCCTCTCCCAGGCCTGGCGACTGCCATCTCGGCCGGGCCCGGGGTGCTTGAGTGCTGGCTCGTGGAGGATGTGGGTGGCGGCGGCCTGTCCAAGAAACCCGCCGCCCTGCTGCTGCGCCAGGGCCCCGGGGGGCCTCCGCCCCGGCCCGACCTCGATCCCCAGCTCTACCTCCGTGTGCACGGTGAGTCTTCCGGGATTCGCCCCGAAGTCGGCCCCCCCTCTGCAAAATGCGCCCGACCACCTCCAAACGTCCCCGGCCCCCATAGCCTGTGCTCTGGAGATTACCCGGCCCTGCCCACCCCGCCCCTCTCCGCGCGGTCGGTCCCGGGACTCGAGCCGCCTCCTCTGCACTCACAGACCCTGCGGGGACCCTCCAGGCCGCTTTCCGGCGCTACCCGCGGGGCGCCCCGGCGCCGCACTGCGAGATGAGCCGCTACGCCCCGCTGCCCGCCTCTGCCAACTGGGCCAGAGGCCTGACCCCGGAGCGCAGCTGCCCGCGGTCCCTGGACGGGCCTTGGCTCATGGTCAGCGTGTCCAGCCGGGTCCTGAGCCTCTCCAGCCTCCTGCAGCCGGAGCCGGAGCCGGAGGCGGGTCTCATCACCAAGGCAACAGGTAGGTGGGGAGGGCAGGTGAGGACGGATGCGCAGCGTCTCGGGTCCAGATGTGCTGGTAACGAGCTGTGTGCACTTGAGCGAGTCATTTCCCCGGTCAGGACTCAGTTTCGCTGCACGAGTCTGCTAGGTGAGACGTTGGACGCTCTGTCTGTCCTTCCACTTCTCTTCCGCACCCAGTGAAACCGGGGCCACCCTAGTGGGAGGTTAGTTTTGGGGGCGGAGCTTTCAGGCGCGCCGTGGGGCGGGGCTTTGGGGGACGCCGGCCCAGGTAGAGTGGGGGCGGGGCTGGGCGGGGCTTAGAAGCAGGCACTATTTCCCGCGGTCTCAGGTTCACCTGGTCGGGCACCCACACCGGCCTCCTGCAGCAGTTAGCCGAGCAAATCCACTGGCACGCTACCTTGCAACGCCCCCGCTGCGGCGCGAGACGATGCACAGCCTCTTCGTGGTCACCCAACTGGGGTGGACGTAAGACACGGCAAGGACCGCTTATCGTACCGTGCGAAGCGGTTTGAGGCGCACAGATGGGGCGGGCGGGCCCTTGGCTAGGTTGGGGCAAGCGAAGACAAAAGGCCATTAAAGCAAGAATAGAGCCGGTCTGACCCGGACACGTAGGGGCTCTCCTCACAGCCAACAGTGGTGGGCATGGTCTGGGAAGAGTCCTGGACTTCACTCAGTCTTACACAATTTTAAATTCAGGCTGACAGGTCAACCCCAACCAAGCCCCTGCGCCTCCCTTGGCCCCGTACCCTCTCCTTGCCATCTAAGAGACAGTGACCCCCCAGGATCAGGGAAGGGGAAGGTGGCACACACTTTGCTGCCCTCACTTCTGCCTACACCGCCCACCTGAAACCCTGAGCCCCCCTGGGCGGGAGCAGGGACCACAGAGCCTTCTCTGGATTATGCCCCAGTAGGTAGGGGTATAATGCCTCTGTTTATCCATGTGTAACACGGCCTCACTGTTTCCCATCTACCTGCCATTGTAACTGTCAACAGAGGTACTGTGTTCATTTATTCGCTGTTTCAATACCTATCTATTCACACCAAGAATACGGTAAGGCTCAGTAGTTCTCAGTTCTGGCTGCAAATTAGTCATCTAGCAAACTAAGGGAGGCCCCGCCCTTGTAAAGAGTCACAGTCTGGGAACCCCACAGGGGCAGTTCTACTCCGTCCTGTAGGGTCACTGTGAGTCGGAATTCACTCAATGGCAAGGAATAAATAACATTTTCTTTCTACTTGAACCCTTGGGGTCAGCTCCTCTTTGTCCCCGCCCTCGTGAGTCCTTGATCGATGATATATTATTGTTATTATTTCGTGTCTTACACTGTCCGTTTTCCACTTTTGTGTCCTTATGGTGCCCTTGACTTTGCTCCTACATTTCCTGTAAACTTTCTCTGCGAGTTGGAATCAACTCTCGTCGACAGTGGGTTTGATGTTGGCTTCTTGGTAGTTTGCATTTAGAAACTTGATTAGATTTGGATTACATTTTTTTCATTGATACTTTATAATAGGTATTACTCACCTTTTTAACAGACGGGAAAGCAAAAATCTTTTTATCCATGCTACAAAAATTAACGTGAAAGGCGTCCTTACGATTCTGGCCCTGTCATAGTTACCTTTGCATCTTCGCAAAGCACAGTTTATAGGATGCAGGTCTAAAATTGCTTCCAATATCCCATACTCTCCTATTAATTACTGTTAGCTTAAAGATTAGACTGTGAAACCTCTAGGTTTTGTTTAATTTTGTGGACTGCATTTAACAATCTTCAAGACTATGCCTAGGTTTCCTTAGACACGAAGTGGAACTGCATGCTGTTTTAAAACTGCTAGACCATCCCATGAAGTTGCGAAAGGCTTAACTTTGTAGGCCAAGTATCCAGGATTACAGGCAACATTGTCACAAAAGAAAAACTCTCTCAAAACTCACTGCCACTGAGTCAATGGTGACTCCTAGCGACCCCCTGTGGGTTTCCGAGACTGGAACTGTTCATGGGAGTAGAAAGTCCAGTCTTCCTCCAGAGGAGCTGCGAGTGGTTTTGAACTGCCCACCATGTGGATTGCAGCCCAACCACTCGGCCTCCTCACAAAAGAAAAGAGACTGCTATTACCTGGAGTGTCCAGGCACCTCTGGGATGAGAGGTAGAACTAAGCTGAAGGACACTGAGTACTTAGATGTTTGGGAGAAAATGATACAGTGGTTACAATGCTCAGCTGTTTGCCGAAACCCCAATGGTTTGAATCCACCAGCCACTCCACTAGAGACAGCCAGGACAGTCTGCTTCTGTAAAGTTTTATGGCTGTGGACGCCCTAAGGGGTCGTTCTACTCCACCCTTTAGGGTTGCTATGAGGAGGAATCAACTTGATGGCGCTGGTTTTATCCCCGTTTTACAAATTAATAAAATGGACTCACAGAGCAGTTTAGTGACTTGCCCAATAACACACAGCCTGTAAGGAGCAGAGGTAGGAAAGCCTACACCATCTAGCTAGGTAGCTGAGAGATTTTTTTAGACAGGCAAGTGGTCTGGTCAGCGCTCTAGCTACCGTGACTTCCATGTGGAGGGTGGATTAAGGGGAAGAGAAACAGGCTAGCAAGACCAGAGAGGAGGTGCACTCATGGTATGGTAGGTGCACCTGACCTTTAACTTCACAAAAGGGAAGGAGAATCAAGATCAACCAAGGCTGATTCCTATGAAGTAGAGCTTAGACAGACCCCCACGCTCCAGCACTTTTTACCGACCCTGGCAGATGGTAGTGAGGTAATACAAGTCGTCCCTCCCCCACGACTCTCAGCCTCTCTACTGGGTGTGACAATTCATTGTAATGGCCACCAGAACTCACAGGCAATTCTCACGATTATGGGATTTACTAGAGAAGCAATAGATTACAATTTGGGATCAGAAACGATTGAGGAGCTTCTTCTTTGGTCAGCACAGCATCTCCTCAGCCATGCCCCACAGGTACTCTTGGGTGGTCCTTGGCCTCCGCCCTGCACTCTTCCAGCAAGCTTCCTGCACCCAGGTGCTCAGCTTTCTCACCGAGGGTCAGGAAGCCCACGGTGCTGCCTCCTGCTGGTCAGCTGCTGCTGCTACCTGTGTGCGTGCACACTGATGGGAAAGCTTACAGAGCAAACGGGGACCATTTCCTTCATCCTTCTTCCTTATCCCTTCCTGCCTGCTGAGTGTCATTCTGGGGCAGATGCTGCCTTTGAAATCAATGGCAGCTTCTTGCCATTTTACACTGTTCTCTAGTGTGCTAGCTCACTCCCTCCTGGGTCCGGGCGTCTCCCAGTGCATGCAGGGCCACTTGCTGGGGCCAAATGATATGCTCCACATCTCCCTTTTCTTCTTGGTGGTAGTCTGGTCTCCCCTTCTCTCTCCTTTTCTCTCTTGCAAGAGGTAAGGGGTGACTTCAGTAAGGCAGTGAAGGCATCGATCGACTTGCCTAGGAGGGATAAAGGTGGAACTTGAGTATCACCTCTAGTTAAGTACTCAATATACATTCCACCTTCACCCAGCTCACGGACGACTGACTGCATACCCACAGGTATGTTGTTGTTAGGATAAGTCCATTGTCACAGTCACTATATTGATCCTTCTTTTTTTTTTTTGTACAACGAGGCCATTTTAATGTTTTGCTCTTTTTTGAATCCATAGTTCTCTTGCTGATGTCAGTCAGGTAAACTGTTGGTGGGATTCAGAAACACGGTCATCATGGGGGTCTCCTGGTTCATGTGTCATCCTCACACACACAGGGGGCTCCTTGTATGAGCGTGCCATCAAACCAGTAGGACCGCCTCTGTGGGGCCATGTTTTCGGGAGTGTTGGGCACCTGGGCACATTTCCCCACAGCACCGGGCCTCCTTGGTCACCAGGCCCAGTTCGCTCACACTCCCTTCAATGACCGTCCCCCTTTGGGAACAACACCCAACGTTGTGGACAGTGGGGACGAGGGGTTCTGCTTTCCACCGCGCATTGGGAAGCAGAAGGTGGCTTTATGTTCAGGATGCAAGGAGCATGTGCCTTCTTGAAACGTAAGCCCACTCGTGGGTCAATGGGTCATTCAGTTTGGTGGTTTCCGTGTAGAGCTCCCCTCCCCCCTCAAGCAGACTTTAGTAACCATCCTGTTCCCTGTCTCCTTTTTTCTCTTTCCTGTTCGGATCACGTTTAGTGTTTCAGTCACCCCTTGGGCATGGACTTTGGGCAGAGGGACTTCCACTTTCCCCGCTTTCTCGTTTCGGTTTCGTTTGATCATATTGGACAGGACTTTAGCTCGAGACTGTCCCTCCCTGTGCAGCAGAGAGGCAGGCACTGCTCCCTGTGGGGTCTTCTCGTCATTCTTGTTTGGTGTTCCTCTTTTCATACATTTTGATAGTCTTTTTTGTTTGTATTTTCTCAGCTGCCTATGGTAGAGCTTGGCCTTCAGGCCAATCATCTTTTCTGCCTTCTTTGAACGTTCATGAGCCTCTTGACTTTCCTTCTATCTCTTTCTCTCTTGGTAAGCCAAGCGATGCCCATGGCGTTTACGGTGAGATTCCATATGCTTGTTTTGTGGTATGGTGACAGCGCCAAAGCCACTGGGCGCAGTTTCCGGGGTGCGATGAGCCACCCAATTTTCGGGTCCCTGAGACCCAAGAGCCGACTCCAAGCAGCCTCCATAGGAAAGGGCCGACGCATCTTCCTGAGGGCTGTCTTAGGCTGGGTTCTCTAAAGAGCAAAGCCGGGGACATTTAGATATGTGTGTACAGGGGAAGATTGGTATCAGGAAAATGGCTCACACTTTTGTACAACTGGAGACATTCAAGCCCAGGCAGATTCCAACGCGGTGAGTCCGGTCTTAAGCTACAGGCTTCTCCGGACTCATGTAGCTTCGGGGGCTGATGAACCCAAGGTCACCACTGCCTGGGGGCCACAGAGGTGGGTGAATCCTAGATCAGTAGGTCAGGCTTGTGACAGGAGAGGTGTAGGAATCCAAGGTGGAAAGTTCAGAGAGAAAGACCCTGACAACTCCCCAGGTTGGCTGGCAATATGACAGCCCATTGGCTCAAATCTTAAGAACCAGAGATGGATGAGCCAGATGCAGCATCCAGACCCAGCAAGAAGCAAGCAAGCTTTCCCACTGCATCCACGTATATAGGAAGTAGGTTCACACATCCCCCTGAGAACATGTCCTTTCAGATGCATCAAGGCTGTCACCTACGTAGGGAGATTGAGTTTCACCCTATTCTTTTCACAGCTGATCATCTGCTCTCAGCAGACCCCCTTCTGGAGCTGATTAAATGTGTTGGACGACATCATGTAGATTACTAGGTCTTAAATGCCACTGAGATTCCTTGCCCTGTCAAGTTGACCCCAAACCCAACTCTCGCAAGGGGCTTTCTCTTTTCCACTGTCCCTCTCCTAAGCAAGATGACCTTTTTAAGGGACTATTCCTCCTGATAACATTTCCAAAGTATGTTGGACGGATCTTGCGGTTGTAGCCCTTCAGGAACATTCTGGCGATACTTATTCCAAGACACATGTGTTCGTTCTCCTGGAAGTCTATAGTGTTTTCAATATCCTTCGCCTACACCATCAATCAAATGTATCAGATCTCCGACGTGCTGTCGCATGCATGTAAGGCAACTGAAAATACCACAGCTGGGGTCAGGCGGACCTTAACCCTCAAGTGATACCTACCTTTGCGCTTCGATACTTTAAAAAAGCCTGTACAGCAGATTTCCCCAATGAAATGCCTTGTCTGATTTCCTGACTGCTGCTTCCAGGAGTGTTGATTGTGGAGCCAAGTAAAATGAGATCCTTGACAGCATCCAGCTTTTCTTTGTTAATCACGATGCTGTTTCTTGGTCCAGTTGTGAGGGACTGGTTTTCTTTTCATAGCTGTTAATCCATACTGTAGTCATTGAATCATGCCACCAGGACCCCAACTTTTAACCCAAACTAGGTATTATGATGTTATTTCCCTTAAATTATTAAGGAGACACTCAGGCAAATTCTGGGTTCTCCATGTAAACCTTAGAGCAGTAGTTCTCAACCTTCCTAATGCTGTGGCCCTTTACTATAGTTCCTCATGTTGTGGTGACCCCCCAACCATAAAACTATTTTTGTTGCTACTTCATCACTGTCATTTTGCTACTGTTATGAATCGGGCGACCCCTGTGAAAGGGTCGTTTGACCCCCTCAAAGGGGTCAGGACCCACAGGTTGAGAACTGCTGCCTTGGAGCAAAGGGCCACCTCCCTGAGCCTTCTGTTGCTAGGTGAGTGGCCAGAAAGAACTCAAGTGGAGCCTGAACTATGTTAAGACCCAAAAAGGACTGTCCTTGGGGGTGGGGGTGGGAGTAAGCCCCAAATCCTAATATATTTTATAGAGACCCCTTTATTAAATCTTAAAAGGACAAAGAAAAAATGCAAATCACTGGGATGAGGGGGCTCTTCAGTATGAGGTCCTCATGGGGTCCGAAGGGTTCACAAGCATGGAGCTAGGCTATGAAGCAATGACGAGAAAGGGGAATGGCCAGCAATCACGACTGGCTGCGGATCCACTCATCACAGTGGCGGGTGGGACTATAGAAATGGGCAAGGGACTATGGTTGGGACACAGTATTGCAGAGTAGAAAAAGTTTATGGGATTGGTTCTGGGGAGGAGGGGGCATGACCCATAAGCAGGAGGTACCCATGTTCCAATTCCCATCAAGGGTGTGCACAGGCAAATCCCTGAGGGCCAGACTGCCCGTCCCCGGGCCAGCCAGGGCAATGGCAGCAAGCCACTTTGAAACGCACTCTGCCGGAGGCAAAATGCTTTTTACATTGCCAGTGGTCAGAAAGCACTCCATGGAAGCGGCATGTGTGTGGAGACTCAAAATAGATTTCTTACCGTAAACCAAAGCCTTCGGGAAAACCAATGCTTGGAATTTAAGGCCTGATACACTTGTCTGTCTCCTCACTGGACTACAAGCAACTTGAGGGCAGAGACCGCCTGTCGATCCGCTAGCAATGCATCTTGAACATTCCAGGGGCTTGATAAATATTTGCTAGAAGATTCATTAGAAGGAGCCTGGGTGACTTCAAGTGCTTACCTTGGGCCAGTGGGGGTCCGTCCAGGCAAAGCAGGTAGGCACTGCGACAGAGTGGAGATGTCGCGGAGACTATGTTGAGGTGGGGGCATGGTCAGTGTGGCAGGCTCCCTTTGCTCCAGGCAGGACCTGGAGAGGTGCGTTTGTTGTCTAGAATCCGGAGCCTGGCAAGCTTTGGATAGCAAGAGGCGTTACAGGATCTCACCTTCACCGGAACCCCATGAAGCCGTTATCTTGTAGAGACTGAGAAGCTGAGCCATGGGAAGACATAGTAACTGGTCCAAGTTAATGGACTTGGCCAATTAGTTGGTAATTGCCAAGTGGGGGGTTGAACAAAGATAACCAGGCTCTAGGCACCTCACCATTGCACGACACGGCCTCAGTAGAGCATTGGGACCTGTACTCGAGTCTAGGCCGGAGCCTGGATCTTCCATAGCTAATGCATGCAACACCAATAAGGAGAGCCTGGTAGGACTGAGGGTCAGAGGTCACCCCTGCCTTCATCAGCCACTAAGGTAGGCCTGGCTCTTCAAGGTGGTGCGTCTGGAGACGGAATTGGCTCAGCCTGGATCAAGAATGCCTCGGATCCCCCTGTCCGCTGGGTTCACGTGGGCTGTGTGTTCTGAGCAGCCGCCAAGAGCTATTACTGTGGAGGAGCAAACAGAAACAACAAAAAGCAATCCGGGATGGGACAGAAACACCTTGTACGGATTCGGCAAAGCACTGCAGCACAAGGGAAAGAAAAAACCAACCCCTTTGGCAGAACTCAAAACACCAAACTCCCTGCCGTCGAGCTGAGTCTGATTCAGAGTGCTGCGATAGGGCAGAGTAGCACTGCCCTTTGTGGATTTCCGAGACGGTAACTCTTTACGGGAGTAGAAAGCTTCATCTTTCTCCCACGGAGCGACTGATGGTTTTGAACTACTGACCTTGTGGCCAGCAGCCCAGCACGACCAGGGCTGCTTTTTTGGCAGAAACCTCACCTTCATACCAAGCACTGAGCCCTTTCCAGCTCTTTGACAACGCCCACTACCTGCCCCTGGTCACCACTTTACCCCTTCACTCACGCCCCTGCCAGACCAGGTGCCAGCACAGCGGGGGAGTTTCCTGAGGGCTGGGGGGGAGGTTTCTGTGGAGTGGGTAAAATTAGAGCTGAGCCCTCCAATAGCTTCATTTCTCTGTTTTTCCTCCCTCCTCCTCCCCTGCCCTCCCTCTCCAGCCGTGCTGACTGTCCTCACGCACACCCCTGCGCCTCGGATCCGACTGGGTCAGGATGCCTTGCTGGACTTGAGCTTTACCTATGTGCCCCCCACCCCCGAGGCTGCAGCATCCCTGGCCCTAGGCCCCCCGCCTTTCGGGCTGGAGTGGCGACACCAGTACCAGGGTAAGGGGCACTTGCTCCTGGCCGCAACCCCAGGGCTGAATGGGCAGGTGCCAGCGGCCCGAGACGGGGCAGTGACTTTTGCTTCGTGGGATGACAGTGAGCCATGGGGCCCATGGACCGGGAATGGCACCCTCCGGCTGCCTGCAGTGCGACCCACCCAGGAGGGCGCCTATCTGGCCGTTGTCCACCTGCCATACCTGCAAGGGCAGGTCACCCTGGAGCTTACTGTGTACAGTGAGTGGGGAGTCCCCATGGGTAAAGGCTGGGCACTGGGGCTGGAGGCTGCCTAAGAGAGGGATGGGGATGGAGGATGGGGTGCTTGAGTGAGTGAGGGTGGGGCTCTTGGCCGTGGAGAGGGAGAGGGTCACTGGGCCTCTGAGCTGCTTTATTATGGTGCTTGTGGCGAAGGGGAGACAGTGGACTTCCTGTCCCAGCATCCTGGGAGCGGAAACACAAGCTCTCCCCGCACCCCCACCCCCACCCGTAGTTCTGGGACATCCAGAAGGGAAGCTGAATGTCTTTGAGGGGGGAAGAGTGTGAATGATTACCCTGTTTCCTACTCTTTCCTTAGAACCCCCTAAAGTGTCCCTGACGCCAGCACCCCTCGTCTGGGCTGCCCCTGGAGAGGCCCCCCCGACATTGGTCTGCCTTGCGTCCCACTTCTACCCCTCCGAGGGCCTAGAGATAGAGTGGGAGACCCGAGGGGGTCCGGAGGGTGGCTTTCAGGAGGCTGTGGGGCAGAAGTGGCTCTCCACCCTGCGCCACCATTCTGATGGCTCTGTCAGCCTCTCGGGGCACCTCCAGCCAGCCCCCGTCACCACTGAGCAGCATCAGATGCGCTACGCCTGTCGTATCCACCACCCCAGCCTGCCGGTCTCAGGGCGCAGCGCAGAAGTGACCCTGGAAGTGGCAGGTAAGATGCAGGAATACCACAGCCCCGTGCAGGTGGGGCGGGCCTGCCGGAAGCTCAGTGCCACCCCTCTTCCTTCCAGGCCTCTCCGGGCCCTCCCTGGAGGACAGCATGGGGCTCTTCCTCTCAGCCTTCCTCCTCCTCGGCCTCATTAGGACATTGGGCTGGCTTGGTGAGTTTGACCCCACCCCCAGGACAATTCTACCTGTTCCCAGAAGACCCTCACTCTATCCCATCCTTTCTCAATCTCTCTCTACAGCTGCCCACCTGTCCACTTCCAAGTCAGAGGAAAAGGTAACAACTCATCATTTTCCTTTATCACCATAGCTCGTCCCCCAACTGGTCACTCATGGGAGGAGGCTGCTAGTAGGGTGGGGAGTAAACACGCTTAGAATTCTCACACTCCAGCCGCTTAGATTCTTAAACTATAGGACCCCTTGAACAAGCTCCGTAACCTACATTTCAGTCTCTTGGGCAGGTCATCGCACGAGGAGCACAGGTATTATTTAGGTGAAGCTGTCTCATAAGGAGCCCTGGTGGTGTCGTGGTTAGGCATTGGGCTGCGATCCGCATGGTTGGCAGTTCAAAACCACCAGCAGCTCCTTGGGAGAAAGACTGGACTTTCTACTCCCCTAAAAACAGTTAGTCTCAGAAACCTACAGGGGGTCACTGTGAGTCAGCAATGACTCAATGGCAGTGAGTTTGGTTTGTGTAGTGGCTGTGATCACTAGATCACCAGTTTGAAACTACCAGCCGCTCAGGAGAAAGATGGGGCTTCTTAGAATCTTGGAAATCCACAGGGGCAGTTCTACTTGTCCTGATTCGGTCGCTGTGGGCTGAAATCGACTAGGTGCTTTATTTTTTTTAAGGAGGGAGGAGTATAATAGGAATACAACGCCAATTAAAATAATCAAGAAAAACATTAAAAGAAACAGATGAACTGATACTAACACATTCAACTCCAACTATAGAATCTAAAATATTATCTCAATGTGTAATCAGTATAAGAAATCATAGACGTCTTCAGCACTCAATCCTCAAAACACCAGTTTCAATTTAGGACCTTTGGCCACATCTCAATTCAGACTAGCCATGTTTCCAATGCTCAATCTCCCCAGGTAGGTGATGGTTTCTTAGCATGGTGGGTAGCCCAACCTCACACGGTCACTGGTGCCACAGGGTTAAGCTGTGAATGGAAAAGTTGGGGTTTGGTCCTGGTGCGCTGACCCCCTAAAGTTACACCCTCGAGAACCCTATCAGTTCTACCCTGTCATCTAGTTCGCTGGGTCAAAATAAACTCAAAACAATAACGCACTCAGCACAGCGTCTAGCAGGCAGAAAGCCCAGAGCAAGGTAGCCGGGCCATTCCTCCACCCCCTGTACCTGTGAAGGTTCGTCTTTCCGAGTTGATTCTGAATGTTTCATCCCACCCCCCAAATGCTGAATTCCTCACCTGCTTCCTTCTTGTTCCAGAAAGCACAGTGAGGGCTTTCTCAGCACCAGCACCCTGCCGAAGCCAACGTCATCTCTGGCCTGAGCAGCTGCAGCAGGGCCGCCAAATTGTGTCCCCTCAATAGCTCCTCCTCCTTCCAACTCATTCCCCACCCAGTCATTAGAATCTTCCTTTAAAGCCACAAGTCTTACAACATTCACTTTAGAACTCTAGGGGGGTAGTTGCCAAACTTTTTGGCCTCTTGAACATTAACCGAGGTCCCTAAAGAACTTTTGCCTGTGCGTTCTAACGACTGGCCGTTAACTCTATTAGAAATGAATATTAAGGGGAAAATGGACACACGAGGCTACAAATGCACACATCTTCCATTAAGTGTGAGTGCGATGTCAATACTATGTCTCTTCTAGAAAACGCTACAGCACACCCTTACAGAATGAGAGCGCTAACGGGAAATAACACCCCAGTGTCGTTATGAAAACTCGTATCGACCCCACTTATCCCATGCAATCCTCTTAGAAACACCCCACCACTCCCCCACCCCAGCCCCAGTCAGGGTCACACTTGAGAACCCTTTCTGCCTGGGCTCCGGGGCCCCCGTGTTCCCGGCTCTCCGGGCCCTAGGCTACCTCTCCAGCCCCACCTGGTGCCTCTCAGCCCTCCTCGCAACGCTGTCACACCCAAAGCCCTCTTCCCTCCACTCGGCCCTTCTGCTTGGTCCACCCTCGCCCACCCTGGGTCCCTGACTAGGCGAGCCCCGTCACTCTCCGTGGGCCGCCTCGTGTCCCTCTCGTGTGGTTCAACGTGGTTGTATTTAAGTGGTTGCGTGAATCCTTGCATTCCCTCCCGGGTCAGTCGGGTCCTCAAGGGCAGGGAGCTTGGCTGTCCACCGTTGTAACCCCACGCCTGCACGGATCGCAGCGTCCACTGGAGGGCGCCCCTCAAATGACCGCTGAATGTCGGGTGAACCGGCCGCCCGGGTTGTGGACCTCCGAAGGGCAGGACGGCCGGCCGGGACGACGGGGGGAGCGGGTCTAATCGTGCGGGAATAAAACTGTCCACCAGTGCTTCCACCGGGGCCTCTCCTTTTCCCAGAACCCCCCTTTTCCAAGCACACTTCTTCCGGTCACCGCTGGCCACTCCCAATAGCCCCAACCCCTCAATGTCCCCGCGGCGCAACCCCCATTCCTTTCGAAGCAATCCACGAAGGGCGCCACCAAGCTTAAGGGTCCCCCAGGATGCCCACCGGAAACCGAGATCCCGGCCTCGGAGTGCCGGAAACCCAGGACCACTGACTCCGGAACCGGAAGTGGTGGCTTCCGGTCCCGCCCCCCGCGAGGAGGCGGGGCCCACGGGCTTCTTGGAAAGCCCGGGCTGGATTCGGCCCGCTCCTCGCGCGGGTGGGCTTGGCCAGAGTCACGCCGCGGGGGCGGGGTAGCGGGGTCCCTGTCCGCCGACAGCGCTTCTCCGCGGGAGTTTCAGCCTGGCCCTTGGAGGGCGGGGATGTTACACCCCGCTCCTGCCCCCGCGTGGCCTGGGCGCCTGGAATCACTGTCCCCACGTCAGAGGGGGGCTCCGCGACCCCCCGAGGCGGAGGCCGCAGGGCCGGGCACCCGCGCTCCGGGACGCGGCCCCGGCTGTTCCCGAGTCCGCCGTCCTGGCTCCCGTCCTCACTTCCTTCCCCTTTTGGCTCCCGCTCGCGGCGCGGGCGGACGCAGGGGGGAGCGGAAAGGGCGGGAGGGCCGGGAGGGCGCGGAGAAGCCGGGGAGGGGATTCGGCCTGGGCCCGGAGACCGACGGGAACCAGCGCCCGGGGTCCGCGCCGCCCCCCGCCCCTCCCGAGCAGGTCAGAGCCGGAGCACCCTTCGACCGCCCCCGACCCGCACCCCCCAAATGCAACAGGGCCCCCATGTCCCACCCGGTGTTGCCCTTCCCCCGCTCCTGGCCGGTGACTCGGGCACCCACGCACCCCTCCCTCGCTTGACCACCCTGCACCCCCCCCCGTCTCTCCCCAGGCGCCCCATGGCCCAGCCACGCTGATTCCTCCCCCGGCCATGCTCCCGCGGCCCCTGCGGCTGCTCTTGGACTCGGGCCCCCCCGGGGGAGTCGTGCTGAGCAGCTTCCGGAGCCGGGACCCCGAAGAAGATGGGGTTCCTGGGGCCCAAGGCGTGGGCGGGGGGCAGGAGGAAGCGGAGGAGGAGGAGGAAGAGGTGAGGCGCGGTTGGCAGGAGGTAGGGGACCAGTGGAGCTCGAGCGCCTCGCCCCCTGCCCCCGTCGGTGCCTTTGCACCTCTCTTCCTCCTCGCCTCGACCTCCCTGCTGCAGGGCGTCCCTGTGTCGGGGTGACTCAGGAGCTGCCCGCAGGAGCCTGCCGCCGCCTTCCCGCCGGGGGGCCACGGGGTTGGGGTCGCTGCAGGCCGCGCCCGTCAGCCCAGGCCTGACTGTGCCTGCCTCTCCCCGACTCCCTCCTGCTTCTTGTTTGGAGGGGAGGGGCTTGTCTCCACAGTAACCAGCTCCTCGGACTCTGGGATTGGGAGGGAACCCTGAGATTTCGTGGCCCCTCCTCGCGCCCGCCCCCCACCCACCGCCCAACGCACACTCAGGTGTTGCGTGGAGGCCACGCCACCCCTCCCCCCGGAAGTTGAGGTTCTGGAACTTGGAGGGACACATCCCAGCCTACTGAGGGGTGGACACGTTCGCCTGGGACTAATTAGCAATGGCCAGGAGCCGAGTTTGGGGCCTCAGGAGAAGCCAGGCACTGGATTTGGGGCCCAAGGCCCTGGACACCTAAGCCCAGAGGCTGGGTGAGGTCACAGGGACTGGCAGGGC